AAAGTGTCAGTGAAGATGTGAACTTCACCTTATCACTCCCAATCTGCCGGTTTAGTAGAACAGGTAATACACACTGTCAAGCATATGCTTGCTATATTTCTTTATCCCTAACAAAACTAACTAGGACTAACATCATATGTAGCACCTGCAAAGTCATGTGGATCACATAACTAGCTTCAACACTCAATACATTGGTAGAGCATTGAACAGCACAGTCTGTAGAACCTGAAGAGAGTCACGTGGATCACAGAACTAGCTTCAACACTCAATACATTGGTAGAGCATTGAACAGCACAGTCTGTAGAACCTGAAGAGAGTCATGTGGATCACAGAACTAGCTTCAACACTCAATACATTGGTAGAGCACTAAACAGCCCAGTCTGTAGGACATGAAGAGCCATGTGGATTACAGAACTAGCTTCAATACTCAATACATTGTTAGAGCACTGAACAGTCCAGTCTGTAGCACATGAAGGGAGTCGTGGATCACAGAATTAACTTAAACACTCAATACACTGACAGAGCACTGAACAGAGAGCAACAGGTTGCTTGTTTAACATGCTCATGTTTAAAATTTTGCTGTCTGTAGACATGATGTATAGTCTTACCCATAAAGCAGCTATCCTATGAAATATACAAAGAGGTTAAAATCTGAAACAGTTGGTGCACACAAGTTTGTACATAAGGGTTAGAATATGACAGAAAAGGTGCTATAATAAGACAGTGAAGGAACAAATGCGCAAGTGTGCAGACTATGTGTGGCTTTGGTATGTGTCAGTAGTATGGAAGCTACTGAGCTCTGGCATGACAGAACCTTTTGTGCTCTGATGTGTCAGCCGATTGTTTATTAACATACGAGTTACAACAGTTGAGAGGTGTGCAAAATTATGCAGTGCACGTTGAACAGCTGTATCCATACTTTACTAAAGATCTTCTAGCGAACTGACTTGAACAGGAAGTAGAGAAAGAGAATGATGAATACTTATCTGGCTGTTCATGAAAGACCAGATGAGGAAGTGGTGGATTTTGATGTGAAAAACAGCTCCAGTCATTGGTTGAATGGCCAGTGATAGGCTTTCAATCAGTACAGCTGGGATTAACAATGGTTATCAGCAGGAAGTATGTGGATGAAAAACCAATGACTTAAAGGAAGTAACATTTCTTGCTTTCCAAGCTGTTGGATGGAATTGTAAGGTACAATATAGTGCACATACTGTATGATTACCACTCGATTATCTAGAGTTAGGATCTGAAATACTATTTTTACACACCTCGATTTCAAGCAACAATGAATAAATTAAGAAAAATTTGGAACATATACAGTTTTGTTAATATTTTTTTGACATTGTTTCTGTACAATGAAAATGCAGGCTGTAACACATGCTCCTAAATAGTGCTAAATACCTGGAAGAAACTCACAAGGGAAATATGATGTAAGCATCAGTGGATTATAATGGTCAAAAACAGAAACTGGCATCAGCAAATCTGAGTCAGTTTAGGTGTGTAAGAACCAAGATTGCAGTATTGATCACATTCCTTTCCTACTGAATCCAGATTCTGTTTACATAACAACCAGATATTAGTAGTTGGAATGTATCTTGAGTGAATGGTAAGCTGTGTTAGCTTTGTCACAGTAATGGCAACAAAGGCTACCAGAGTTATAAGTATTGGTCGAGTGGAAACCCAATGAGTCTGGTGGATCAAGAAATTCACAGGTGTTACAGACACATTTGCTATTTGTTATATATTGTTACGACAGCGGAAGTCACGTAACGCTACGGGCGCATTGGCGCTGGTGGCGTGTGTGAGGAGTTTCTCGAATGATCATGAATTTCCTAGTGTGTTCGAGATGCCCTCTTCTTTAGTATATAAGCCTGGCAGAGAAGCCAGAGATAGATAGATAATTAAAGAAGCGAATGGTAGTGACAGGAAGTAAAGTGTGTGAATCACTGTGATTTATAGCATGTATTATAAAAGTTGTTAAGTTTAAAGTGGCGGGAAAACGTACTGACTGTGGAAATCCCGTGTACTAAAAGTTTCTATCGAGGAAAAATAAACTGGTTTAATTAAGAAAGGACTTGTATCGCCGAAGTTCCTTGGAAATAATGTATACCAGAAATTAACAAACAAGCAGATATGCAACAATATGGTGCGAGTACATGTAAACCCATAGAAATGTTGCTTTACTATAGGCTAAGGTAATCATTTCATCACTCTTTTCTAAAGGTAGTTTTAGAGAATAGTTTGATTGTAACCAAACAGTTAGGACCCTCTTTACAACTTACAGAACTAGATGACTGTCTGCTAAATTGAAATTCATCTAATTTTAAATTTTTAATCCAGACTTTGCTATTTAAGATCACCATATTCTTGACCATTATGGCTATCCTTTTCATCAACCAGGTTGTGGAAAGTGGTATTTTTCGTTCTTGAAAGTTTAAATCTCCACATCTCATTCAAGCTACATGAGGGGAGGATGTTTTGATGACCACCTACGTGTTTAAGATTTCCTATTTGGGAAGGATTTCCTGTTCAGTTGGCTTTCAAACTGTAGAGCCCATGGATAAGGATGTGTTGCTAGCCAACACCTTAGACATGAGAGATGTGGTCAAGTCAGTTGTTGGGTTAGCTTTGAAGTCTTCTGGTGTCTGGAATTCCCAGTTGGCTGTGAATCCACCCATGAAACCCAGGTCCTTGTTATACAAAATGACCAACTGGACCTTGGAGAAGTTGGCGCAGACCACCACTTCGATACTATTTAAGCTGACACAGCAGAAGCCAGCTTTAGCACCATCTCTGGTGAAGCAGGAATCGAGGCAGACATTGATGCATTTGTAACCTCTTTTAAGGTGTTCCATCAGGAGATGCCTATTCATTACCTTGGAGATGACTACAACCCAAAGCCTAAGTAAAAAATACTTTCCCAGCCTTAGTCATCTCAAGGGTCAGCTGGACACCAGGAAAGGACACAAAATGTCTGCCAACACTCAGCCAGCACCATCAACAATAGTGTTTCAAACTCCAATGGCCCACATTACCAATGATAGAAGGATCCCTGGCATATAGAGGGTGGTAGCGTTAAAAACATCAACATCAGTCATGCCACTACCATTTTCCACAGTCTGGATCTTCAGACTTAACGAGGGATCCTCCATGTTGACAGCAAGTCCTGTGACATTGCTAGCCTCTAGGACTACCACAGAGGCCAAACACATGGGACTTATACTCCAGCCTACAGTTGACTGCCACATTGGAGGATCTGCTGTCAAGATTGAGATGAAGGCAAAGTGGATTGGACCTCATGCTTGCTTTGCCACTGGGACAGTTATGAATATTTATTAATATTATTTTTGCGTTTCATAATTTATAAAGTACTTTGTATGTGTACGTTATGAATCTCTGCACATTATTAAATGGTATTAATTACATAGTATGTAATGCTGAAATTAATCGTTGTTAAAATGTATTTATATTATGTGAAATTTTGATTTCTTATCCTTATTAAAGGGTTCTGCTGTCTATGTTAAGTCTATGTGTTTACAGTGATGAAACAAAGTTATTGTACTCCATGCCCACCGTGCATGTAAAGGTTTTATTTGTTTTAAAGTTAAAATAAAACCTGGCTTGAAGAGAAATTTGAAGTAAAGGGGAAGGTAAATTGTGGTATATAAACATACAATGTCTTTCCAACCTTTTTACTTTGATACAGTATTCTTCAGAATTTGTCAGTATTCTGTGTGTGTGTGCGTGCAGTTTTCTGTTGAGAGAACGCACAGTGAATGATCACGTGAGATTACAACCTCGCTTAAGTTTCAATGTGGAATGATCAAATAAGGTTACAACCTCCCTTAACTTCCAATGTGAAATGATGAAGTGAGGTTATAACCCCCATTAACTTTCAATGTGAAATGATCGAATGAGGTTAAAAACCCCTTAACTTTCAATGTGGAATGATCAATTGAGGTTAAAGCCTCCCCTTAAGTTTCAATGTGGAATGATAAAGTGAGATTACAACCTCCCTTAAGTTTCCATGTGGAATGATAAAGTGAGATTACAACCTCCCTTAAGTTTCAATGTGGAATGATAAAGTGAGATTACAACCTCCCTTAAGTTTTAATGTGGAATGATCAAGTAAGGTTACAACCTCCCTTAACTTTCAATGTGAAATGATCGAATGAGGTTACAACCCCCCTTAACTTTAAATGTGAAATTATCGAATGAGGTTACAACCCCTCTTAACTTTTCATGTGGAATGATCAAGTGAGGTTAAAGCCTCCCTTAACTTTCAATGTGGAATGATAAAGTGCGATTACAGCCCCCCTTAAGTTTCAATGTGGAATGATAAAGTGATATTACAACCTCACTCATGTTTCAATGTGGAATGATAAAGTGAGATTACAATCTCCATTAAGTTTCAACGTGGAATGATCAAGTGAGGTTACAACCTCCCTTAAGTTTCAATGTGGAATGATCAAGTGAGATTACAAACTCTCTTAAGTTTCAATGTGGAATGATAAAATGAGATTACAACCTCCCTTAAGTTACAATATGGAATGATCAAGTAAGGTTACAACCTCCCTTAACTTTCATTGTGAATATTGGTAATCCAGTGTATAAAAATACACCTCCTGCAGTGTTGGTAAGTACAGAAGGACACCTTTTATAATGTTGGTAATATAAGAAGAGAAATAAACCTATGTAATGTTAGTAATCCTAAGCATAAGAAGACACCAACTTCAATATTGGTAGTGTTGAGTATTGATGGGCATCCACTATAAAGTTGGTAATATAAGGAAAGAAGGAAACCCCTACAATGTTTATAACCCTATGTATAAAAAAGAAATCTTCTAAAATACTGTTAATGCTAAGGAGAGATGAACAACTTTTTCATTGATGGTAATACTTACAGCAGAAGAATTTCACAAATGAAATATTTTCTATACTCAAGTAATTTACTGACAACTAATCCAGAGTTAATAAGGTCTTATTTTTATTCTTACTTTTGCTTCTCTGCCTTGTGTCGTAAGGTGAAGCTTTTAGCCAGCTTCTCAAGAGAGCGAGAATACTCCAGTTCTACTTCTGCTCTTCGTCGAAAGAAATCTTGAAGTTCAACAATAATAGAAGCTTGGATTTCAACTCTCAAGTCTAGACATTTTAACTGTTCATTAAGCTGTTGCCTGATATCTGGAAAAATACATTCGGATACAATCAATTATAAAAAAATACTATACAGTGTATGAAATTATATTTATAAAATGCACTTGTACATGTTTAAAGTTCTATACACACAAATACAAGTAGGTCCATGAAAGTGATGATAAATTATTTAATGAGTTAGGTAATACATATATATTCTTAACCAAAAAATACAAGTATTAGACCAGGTAATGCTGAAAATACTTTGTAATACGTTGAATATTATATTTTCAGACAGCATTACAATATACAAGATAAAGCGAGTTAAACCATTCCATTACAGTTGGTCTTCAAGTAAAGCTTTAGATATTTTTGAAGTTCTTCTATTTTTTATATGTATTTTTCACCACACCTCAAATCTGATGTAAAAAATTTTCTACATCTACAAAATTTGGGACAAATCAATTGTTGATATCTGATTATTTTTTATACTTACACCATGATTAAGCTACACATAGAAATTTGAATATATAAAATAAAAATATTTACAAATCTAATTGTTCATTTAACTCACGATGGATGATCCAACTATACAGCAAACAACAAATTCAAGGTAAAGCTTGGCTAAAACAATTCTCACTATTAATAAAGTGAAAATTACGATAAACTAGCAGACGTCCCTTGAAACAATTGAACAGTAATTTTCAGAAAAATAGTGATGAATAAAAATAAGTTATGAAATCAACCCAATCCCTTGGATCAGAGTATATATATGCAATATGATTGTCTAGTGGACCATTTACAACTGTATTATGTTATTCCATGTGTTATTTCAATAACGAAAATTGCATTGCATTTGTTTTTTAAGAAATAAGACTGAACACAATGCACTGTTGTCAGAAATCTTTGTTTTTTGATACAATGGGTGTATCCAGCACATTAGAGTGCTCAACTTCACTAAATAGCCACAGGAATTTTCTCTGCTGGATACCACTGTTCCTTGTCATTTTACTGAGTGCAAGGAAACATCACAATGGAAGTAAGAATGCTTTTAATGTTATCATTCCTATAAGAAATGTCAAAGCAGAGATATTCAATTCAAATAAATTTATTTGACATGCTATGATAAAATAATGCAATTATATTATACTGACCTAAAATATATATATAAACCGAACAACCTCTATATACTCAAACATGTTCCCTTTTTTGTCCGTTATTTCTGTTCATGTTCCTATCTTCAAAATATTTCTTTCAATCAGTTGAAAAGCATAAGAGTAAGAAAAAAGGTTGTCATTAGTGTATGCCTTATCAAACACATTTGGTATGTTACGTCAGAAGTTTCTAAACCAAAGGTTAGGGAACAGAGTAAGGGTCACACAAAACCACAGACGAACTAACAGAAGATGTTGAAAAACTTGTCCAATTATCTTATCCAGATACTCCACATGAAATTATGGTCCATTGGCATGCAACTAATTCATATATGGCACAGTAGCAAAGGAAGCTCTCCAGTTGACAATGGAACTCAAATCAACTATATGATTAAAGTCACGACTAGACAACAGAAATTAATATCTGTACATTATACAATTGTGAGATGAAATAGTGTATAGATATCAAGTCACTCTGATGGTGATCTAGAAGAATTAAAAGTATTACTTAAAGAACTGTTTACAAATAATGAAAAAAAGTAAACTAAAAGACAGTAGGTGTTTCAAATACGACTATTTACAATTAATGAAAAAAGAAGGAAAACCATGGGACAACGAGTGTTTCAATTGCAACTAAAAAGGGCCATGTTACCAGGAACTGAAGATAAAATATTTTAGGCTTTAAAACTACTTCCATGGAGTGGAAATTACCACAAAGCTACACAATGAGCTATATATATGTATGTGTGTGTGTGTGTGTGTAGAAAAAAGTTATAATGCATCTGAAACTGTGATGTATCAACCATTTATAATAAAATAAAGACACAATATCCCAAGAATGAGAATATTCTACCTACCCCAAATGAGATAACAATTGCATTATCTAAGAACACCACTTTACTTTTCAATGGATTCGTTTTGATTGGAAGCTTTACACCATGTTGATTGACACTGGTTCTGTGGCTACCATTTTTTGGCCTGATGTGGTAAAGAAACGTGGTAACTTGATGCACCAAGGTGAACAGAAAAATATTGTTACGACAGCGGAGGTCACGCTGGTAGCATGCGTGAAGTTTCTCGAATTATCGGGGAAGCCCGAGTTTCTTCGAGATGCCATCTTCTTTAGTATATAAGCCTGGCAGCAAAAGCCAGCGGGGTAATATAAGGTGTGTGTTTTGTACTCATCGAGAGCGAAGTATCGAGATTGTGAATCTCTGTGATTTATAGCGTGTATTATAAAAGTTGCTAAGTTTATAGTGACGAGAAACATACTGATTGTAGAGCTACCGTGTACTAAAAGTTTATATCGAGAAAGAATAAACTGGTTTAATCAAGAAAGGACTTGTATCGCTGAAGTTCCTCAGAAAGAATTTCCACCGGAAATTAACAAACAAACAGATATGTAACAAATTGGTGTCAGGGTGTGGGATGGAAAAGAAAAAAAAGAAAATAGAAACGAGAAGAACGAGAAAAGAAACAAGAAGAGAGACAACAGCAGTGGCAAAAAGCCTAAAACAGTGGCAGCTCGAACGGCAAAATAAACAAGAGAGATTACAGCAATTGTTGAAGGAAAAAGAAAAGAAACAAGAAGAGAGGCTACAGCAGTGGTTGGAGGAGACAGAAAATAAACAAGAGAGGCTACAACAATGGTTGGAGGAGAAAGAAAATAAATAAGAAGGGAGGCTACAGCAGTGGTTGGAAAAGAAAGAAAAGAAACAAGCAGAAAGGCTACAGCAGTAGCTGGATGAGAAAGAAAATAAAAAGAAGAGAGACTACAGCAGTAGTTGGATGAGAAAGAAAATAAACAAGAAGAGAGACTACAGCAGTGGTTGGAAGGAGAAAGAAATAACAAGTTAAGAGACTACAGCAATAGGTTGGAGGAGAAAGAAAA